AGCAAACTGATGGGTCTTGACTCTTTATCCAATTTGCCTGTCTTTGTCTTTTAATTTGACCATTAGTCCATTTACATTTAAGGTTAATATTGTTATGGGTATCAGCTGCGGAGGCTGCAGAAGTTTGAATATTGCTGAACAGCAAGTGTTCCTGTCTGATTCTTGCTCTGGAAGCTTCGTCTCATGGGTTTACCATGCCGTGTGAGGTGGGGGGTGTCGGTCTGCACCTAGTGGGGGATGTCTCTCAGTTAAGCTACTCAGGGGTCAGGGGCCCACTTGAGCAGGCAGTCTGTCTGTTCTCAGATCTCAACCTCCATGTTGGGAGATCCATTGCTCTCTTCGAAGCTGTCAGACAGGGTCTTTTACATCTGTAGAGGTTTCTGCTGCTTTTTGTTTAGCTTTGTCCCATCCCCAGAGGTGGAGTCTACAGAGACAGGCAGGCCTCCTTGAGCTGCTGTGGGCTCCACCCAGTTCGAGCTTCCCAGCAGCTTTGTTTACTTAAGCCTCAGAAATGGCGGGCGCCCCTCTCCCAGCCTTGCTGCTGCCTTGCAGTTAGATCGCAGACTGCTGTGCTAGCAATGAGCGAGGCTCCATGGGTGTGGGACCCTCCCGGCCAGGTGTGGGATATAATCTCCTGGTGTGCCGTTTGCTAAGAGCCTTGGTAAAGCACAGTATTAGGGTGGGAGTTACCCGATTTTCCAGGTGTTGTGTGTCTCAGATTCCCTTGGCTAGGAAAAGGGATTCCCTTCCCCCTTGCGCTTCCCAGGTGAGGTGATGCCTCACCCTGCTTCAGCTCTGGCTGATCGGGCTGCACCAGCTGACCATCACCGATTGTCTGGCACTCCCCAGTGAGATGAACCCTGTACCTCAGTTGAAAATGCAGAAATCACCCATCTTCTGTGTCGCTTGCACTGGGAGCTGGAGGCTGGAGCTGTTCCTATTCGGCCATCTTGCTCTGGGACTTGTTTGCTCATTTTTGACATTCATTCACTTGAATTCTCTTTCTCTTGTATGTGCTATTCACAGTGATTCAAGCTGTGAAACTATTCACAAATGATTCAAGCTGTGACGTATGGCAGCTTGAATGTGTCACACAGGTGGATTAGTAATTCTTTTCTGGTTTTTTATTTTTGCCTCCACAGAATAACTGATTACTTTGTAAGGTTAAGAGTAAGAATATATGAGAAAAAATACATTGGTTTTTATTCTGCTAACAGTAGACCCAGGATTTCAATGCCTTCACTTGCAAGGAAAAGGCTCCCCCAGAGCCTCTTAGAGGCTCCCAACTGTGTGAGCAAAGTTAAGGATAAGAGTGGGGTCATATGAGAAGACCTTAGAATTTACGTTATAGATGAGAGTGTTTGAAATCTTAAGATATTAAGAGGTACAGCGATCACACCACAGATGTGATAGGAGACCTAATATTCTCATTCTGAACCAAAGGTGTCTTCTCCTGTCACTGCCTATGACAACTGGCATTGAACCCCATCCTCATTTTAGAGGACAATATTCATCTTATCAGGCCATTGTGAGAGATCTCAGCTCAGCATAATGGGCAACTTCCCATTATACTGGGCCACTGGGTTATTCTGGGACTTAACTACCCTGAGTTTTCTCACTAGAAAGTTAGTGATCACACAAGGAAAAGGCAACAAGAACCTAGTGGTCTGGGGTTTACTCCTCTTCTCCAGTCTACACAACCCCCTCTCTCTGCATCCTTGCATACATTTGTATAGGTCTTGGAACCTTTTGCCCCCACACAAATGCCTACTGTTTGTCCAAGCTCTTGCCATAAGGCTATAGTTCTTTCTCTTACTTGAGAAGGAAAGTGCTTTGTAATGAAGTAAATACTGATTCCTAGGAATTGAAGAGTCCAAGGTCTCTCAGGAGCAACTCAAAGGCTTCTTTCCTGAGAGCTGGAACTGGCATGCCTGATAGGGTGAATCCTTGATCTTTAATAGAGAGTACCCTGGCCAGGGAGAAGTAAGCTCACTCTGGTTCTTGTGTTTTGGAGTGCTGTTATTTACGTAAAAGCAGAGTCTGTCCTTCCTTTGCTGGTCAAAAGGATTTCAAAGCTGCTGTACCAAGAACTGTTTTCAGATTACTGGTTTCAGAAACTGTTGACCCTTGTCTTCCCTTTCAATAGTGAAATCCCAAAACGGTCCTAGGAGAGACAAGTAAATTCTGACAGCTGCTTAGAGGTCATCTTAGAACTAAATTCCAAAGAAATACTTTTAGGCTGATAAAGAGTCTAGAAAAAGGAGGAGGGAGAGGAAAAGAAAAAATTAGATTAGTGTACAGAATGGTAGCTATTTGCAGCTCACCCAGGTGTGCTCTGAAGGTCAAAACCCTACATCAGCAATTCGTAGCAAACTCTTGAGCTCCTCTACCTCTTAGAAAGCACAATTGAATCAGATACCATGCGAAAGACATACACACATCATATAATGCTACCTGCAAGTCTCCCTAGAAAAGCAGTTTTTGTAGGTGAAAACAATGAAGCCAGGTAATATTCCAAGGAGGCTGTAATTTTAGCAGACCTACCAACAGCACTGATGTAGGAAGCTCATTATTTTAATTTCTGGAGCCTTTTAATTTTTTCTTTAGAAAGTGTATAAATAGTTGCAGTGCTGCTTTGCTTCCAAAACTGGGCGGTGAGTTCAACAGCGACAACAGCAGCAGCAGCTCTTATCCTGGTCGTCATGGAGTTTCTTGAGAGAACTTATCTGGTGAATGATAAAGCTGCCAAGATGTATGCTTTCACCCTAGAAAGGTAATAGATGTCTGTGTCTGCTTCACAAGTTTCTCTCTTGAATATCATCCAATTAATTCCTATACCTTGTTGCTTCTGAACTGTAAACCTTTACTCTGCAACTTGGGGCACTCTGGAACATTTTATAAGTTGTTGACTGACATGTATTTTATATTCTGAAAAATGCAATACTTTATATAGTTGATTTGATTCCTTAAATATCCTAAGTGCGTAAAGAACACATTTTATTGATGTGTTTTTCATCTGTAGTGTTTATTCCAAAAAATAGACCTATATAATCTAATGTGTTGACTTTTCCTTTTCTCAATTATTCTCAGTTTTATGATAGATAGTAAATTTTATTATATTTAGAAAAAATTAAGACTTCAACTATATGGCATAATTGTAGTTATATTGATCTTAAAATGAGTTGTTGCTTTCATGCTCATAAAATATCATTATTAATATACATACCTATAATAAATATAGCTGATTCTAATGTTCTACAAAATATTCCATTTCTTTTTAATGTCTCCCACAGTGTCACATGCAATACATTCATTCATTTTTCACTTGGTTAACAATTGTTGATTGAACACACCTGTGCTAAGTGCAGGACTTAGAAAAAAATGTCTAGTCTCAGATCTTTGTCCTCTTGAAACTTAGTCTAATGTGAAATACATATTAGAGCTAGGCAATTACAAAACAGTGTATTTGTGTCATACTGAGGGCATTCAGTAAGAATAACTGGACTTTGGAATCAGAGGAAGCTTTTTCAGAAGTAATAGGCTAAGAGCTGAAAAATCAAAAGGAATTAAAGTAGGGTTAGGGATAACCTACATAGAAAATAGGTTTAAGGAAAGTTTTGCAGACTTAGATAATTGCACAGTAAATATACTTTCGCATACATAAGATGTGAGCTTAGTTTGTTTGAGGAGTTGAATCCGAATGGGGTTCAAAAAAGAAACACATTCAGTGAATATAAATGAGCTAATGAAAATCTGAAAAGAATCATGTTAGAAGAAGAATTTAAGAGAATACTTGCCCATTAATAGTACGTGTAGTGTTCTTGTTTGTTTCACAAAGCCAAATTAATATTCTAAGGAGTAGTGATACTATGTTTGATGGCATCAAATATTTTAGCAACAGCAAAGAGACTTTATAAAAAGGATATTTATAATTTGTCTTAAAGAGTCTAGCAGTCTCACATTGAAATAATTATTTTTCTTAGAAAATAATATTAGATATGATTTATTGAGGTTATTAACATAAAAAACAAAGCCTCGTGGTAAGTCAGGCAGAAATTTTGGACAAAAAATTGTTAGCCCTACAGATACTATCAATAGAGCATCTCCACATTACTGAAATAACAATATTTCCTTTCTCAGTAATGTAGACTATTAGCATTTTGTTGCACAAATAAGCCAACCACTTATAGGTACAAAGTCTCATTCACCCCATAAATAGGTATGGTTTTCAGGACAGAGTGTTTATAAGAATTGTCAAATTCATTTGTATTTTCTTGTCAAGGGAAATAAGTTAAATCTGCAAGAGATTATTTATCTCGATCCCTCATTTTACCATGTAGGAAACTGAATGCCATATAGAACAAATGCCTTTCTCGAGGTCAAAATAAATGCCTTTCTTGAGGGCAGATGGCTAATTACAATAGAACTGTGCTGTGGACCCAGGCCCCCTGCTTGTTAATTTAGTGTTTGCCTTCTCCCTCTACATCTCCTGTACTCATACGTCCACCATCTGGGCTCTTGAATCGTTAATCTATTTCCTCCTTAGGTCACATGTCCCTGATTTCCCTCACTTACTCACTTTTTCCCTCACCTCTCCCAATCTATTTCATTTATTTTGTTCTGTCTCTATTAGTCATAGATAACTTTGTCCCCTAATAGTCCTCCTCTTTTCTCCTTCTACTTCTTTTTCTTTCTACTTATTATCAGTTTTCTATTTAAACTGTTACCAGCTGTTAAGAAACTTAATCTGAAGAAAACTTTATTATCTAATTCCACAAATGAAGTGTTTCATTTATCTATTGCTTTGCAACAAACTACCCCAAGACATAGTGGCTTAAACAACAACTATTTCATTATGATTCTGTGGGTCAGGATTTGGGCAGCATTCCATGTGATATTAGCTGGAATGGAAAGCTGCATTCTGCTGGTATCTGGGCTAGGCGAGAAGGTTTAAGATGGCTTCACTTACATGACTGAGATCTTTGTGTTGGCTTTTGCCTGGGGCGGGTGTCTTAATTATTCTTCCCATGGCTTCTCTCTCTGTATGGTGTCTCACTTTATCTGGTTAGCCTGGAATTCCTTATATGGCAGTTCAGAGTAGCAAGAGAGCAATAGTGGAAGCTGACCATTCTCAGAGAGCTTAATCCCAGAACTGGCAGAGTATCATTTTTATCACAATTTATGGGTTGATTAAAGCAAGTCCCAAGTCTCACATTCCATGGGTGAGGCAATAGATTCTATCTCTTGATTGCATGTGCATATTGGATGACAGGAATTGCTGGAGGTAATCTTTACAGACATTTTACTACAGGAAGTAGTAATATTGGACCCAGTAGGTGCCATGAACCATGTTTTTTACCTTCTCCAGTCTCTCCAAATGTGTTTCATTGATGGGATCCTCTGGGCTTTGGGTTCATTGTAGCAAAAAAAAAAAAAAAAAAAAAAAAGCTGTGTAAAGTTGAACTACAACAAGAAAAACAATCAATGTTTTTCTTGGTGCTAGGTGGAAGGGATCAAGTTTCTCTTTTCCCCAGCCATATGTTGAAGAAGTGCAGAGGAAGTAAGGGTAGGGACAGATGGTAGAGGTAAACTGCTAGAACATTTTCAACAACTATTTAACTGGTAAAAGTTATAAAAAAGAAATAAAAATCTCTGGAAGTTGTCTTAAGGGCATGCAGAAAATTAAGAATTATTTATTCTAGAAAATCTAAATCTCAGTAAGAAGTGAGAGTCTATGGCATTTGAACCAGGATCTGCTCCATTAACCTCTGCTCTTCCCCAAGCTCAGTATGATGGAAGCTCAACTCTTGAGTGGATGTAGCCAAAATACAAGACTCCCTCTCCTCTCAGCTTCCAGTAAAATATCATAGCTCACCCCTAGAGCAAAAGGCTGTTGGAATCTCTTATTGTCCCAGCCTCAAGTTGCAGAAAGTCTCTTCATTGTAGACATGACCAAGAGGACTATGGTTTCCTTCCTTCACCCAGCCTCCTCTCATAGGGTATAATCTCTAACCCAGGAGCAGCAAGGTCCTGAATATCCCTGCCCTGGATCACTCATAGTGTGCAGGACGTATTCCAGGAGGCACAAGCAAAAAAGACTAGGGACTACTATCCGTAATCAGTGCTCCACTTGTGGAACAAGAATATGGCTCCAGGAGAAGTAGGTCACAGTCTCTTCTGCCAGCTCTGGTGCAGTGGTGTAAAGGTACTACTTATGGGAAACGCAGGCCATAAGAATAGAGGGTTATGTATCTTTGCCTTAGAAGACTGATGATACACAAGCTGGAATTTTATTTGTAAGAGAGCATGGGGCATTTCAAGCATAGGGACACTGTTGAAAACAATGAAGATTCTTCTGGTGAGCAATTAAGAGTAGGCTTGTTGCTTCATGATAGCAACAAGCTATTGGCAGACCGGCTAGAAGTTAAACAGAGACAGGCAGAAAAAGAGGTAAGAAATGCCCTCCTGGATTTGGCACTAGCCACAAAATTTGGCCCCAGATATTACCCCTATACAGAAGCCTGTTTATAGATTAAATGTTTATGTCCCCCACAATTATATGTTGAAGCACAAATGCCAGTGTGGCTGTATTTGGAAATGGGGCCTCTAAGGAATAATTAAGGTTAATTGGGGTTATAAGAGTGGGGTCCTGATCTGACAGAAGTAATGTTCTTATAAGAAGAGACTCTAGATATCTCACTCTCTCTCTCTTTTTGGGTGTATACACTAAGGAAAGACCACGCGAGGAAGTAACGAAAAGGCAGGCATCTATTAGTCAGAAAGGGAACCCTCACCAGTGAATTTGCTAGAACCTTGATTATGGAATTCCATCCTCTGGAGCTGTAAGAAAATAACATTTGTGTTATTTAAGACACACAGTCTGTGGTATGTTGTTACAGTAGCTGAAGCAGACAAATTTAATTGGATCAGATTGTTGGTCCATTCATACCTCAGAGTATTATTGAAAACCGTAGAGCAACAATTCAGCAAACAATTAAGAAGGCCAAAATCTGGGTGTGATACCAACACAGGCAGAACAATCACTTAACAGCGAGACCATGGAAAGAAACAGTCAAAGTGAACACAACTAAAGTGATTATTATCCTTTGGAAATGGGAGAGGATAAGAATGACTGTACATCTACCCAGTCATGCACCCTCTGAGGAATGACAACAGAGGCTGCGCATGGAGGGAAAGTCAGACAACACCTGGTTTAAAAAAAAACCAGTTAGTAGAAACAGTCCAGGTGCTGTACTTAGAATTCAAATGTTTCAAAACAGCTATTATAACTAGGTTAAAAGAATTAAAGAAAATCAAAGAACAAAGAATTAAAGATAGGTATGATTAAAATGTCTCATAAAATTGAGAATATCAATGAAAGGTTAGAAATTATTTTTTAAAAAAGAACCAGATGAAAATTCTGAGGCTGAAAAGTACAATAAGTGAAATTAAAAATTCACTAGAGGGGTTCAGCAGTAGAACTGCACTCATAGAAGCTGGCAGAAGAAAGATTCACTGAAATTGAAAATAGATTGGAAGATATTATGCAACATGAAAAACAGAGAGAAAATAGAATGAAGTAAAAAAATCAACAGAGCCTCAGAGAAATGTGGTACATTGTTAAATATATTCACATATGCATAATAAGAGGGCCAGAAGGAGAGAGAAAAAGGAGAAGAAAAATAGTCAAAGAAATAATGGTCCCAAACTTTTGAAGTTTGTTGAATATTAATCTATACATTCATGATGGTCAGTGAACTCTAAGAAGAATCA